CGCAAGTACAGCGACTTCCATGACGATCGCTCATAGCATCTAGAAAAGATTTAATTTAGCAATAAGTTGCGTCACTAACTGTCCATATGCGTTCTCGCGTTCTCGTCGATTCTGATGTGCTTCTTGAAGGTCCATATGTGAACAGATGGTGATTCCCGCTTGCTCATCTGCTCGATTGTCCGCCCAACCTCCGAGAAAATGAAAGCTAAAAAAAAAACAAGTTTGAGACGAGTCATTTTCTAATCCATTTCCTAAATATGAACGAGTTCATCTAATCAAACATTATCATATGTCTTCTTTCGCTTTGTTTGCTCTTTGTTCTTTGTTTGCTCTTTTTTTGCTTTGGAATTCATAACATTATTGTCCTATATTTACAAGTCTTAAAATCTAGTTTAATATAAATCTATTAGAATTGTATTTTTAAGTGTTATATAATCTGTTCAAAACTGTAACACACCTTGGCGCATCAAATTTCACATATCCTCTCTCCAAACATTCCTGTCGCCACGTCCGATCATCTTCACAAAGCCGCCGCCACGCCCGCGAAACGCCAGCACAAGTCATCAAATCGCGGGTTGTCAAATGGGCGATGATACGATAAGCAATCTAAAAATAAGCAATTACTCCCACAAGCTTTAACAAACCTCCTCTGGCAACTCTGACAAAAAATCCTTTTGGAACAATGGTTCGTTGAGATGCCTGAATTTGAAAATTTCACTGTTTAAGGTCATTCTCTTTACCACATCAACCGAATTTGTGGATAGGAGAGTGCTTCGACCAGGCTTTGAATGGCAAAGCTCTGTTGAGTCAGAGACTCAACAGCATCTATATTTGCATCACCAGCCACTAAGAGCGCGTTCCGGTCGACGAGTAGTTTCTTGGCTTTTTCTCGGCTCTCGTTGGTCCCTTCCTCGAGCAGCTCCAACAGCTTTTGGTTCAGTTCCACATGGATGTTGACCGGCTTTGTGAGCACGGGTGATGGCTTTGGATCGGGCTTCAGCTTTGCCGACAGTTTCTCCAGGATATCCGCTTTCAAAGTCTCGAGTTGAGTCTTGCTGCTCTCCGGCTTGTCCGACATCGACCCTAAATGAAAAATTACAGCAGAGATAACACCGTAAATAATAAAACAAAAAGAAACCCGAAGACAAGACTACTACTAGCTGCTGTAAATACTGTAAATACCGTGAACGGGGGCAAAGAATTGTTCATTCGTCATTTTCAGACGTAAAGCCTGTTTTGCGTTCTAGCACAAAGTTTTCAGCGCTAAATTTATTTAATTTGACTATAATTGTAAATAAAGCACCAAAGCATCTTAAAATGGCTTAAAATCCCTTGCTGCCATGCCATGCTGGTTGAACAAAGATTTTTGGGGAAGAACGGCATTTTTTTAAGCAGCACACTGTATTTTAAATTTGTACATTTTAGTGAGTATTTTAATTGGTGTATCGTAAATCGTGATACACTTTATTTATAAGAAAGGACTTTATTTATAAGGAAGGACACTTTCAGGCCCTCCACTTGCGTAGTCTAGCTTTGAACGCGTTTTTCTCGACACTGGTTTATGCTACAATATGCGCTTAGGTATCAAAAAATAGCCCTGAATTTCAGCTATTTTTTGATACTAAAGACAGATTTTTTTGAAAGTATGGGCGATTTGAAAAAAATGAAATACTAAAAAACTTTTGCGACCACGCGACTCTACGAGGGGTGTGGGGTACTATTGGGAGTGGGACAAATGCGACCTTTTTTTTGCGCACCTTTTTTCGCGTTTTAAAAAAGCTCTAAAAGCTAATATTAACCAATTTCTATTCCAAAAGTTGTTTTTCTAGGTAATTTGAGGGTGTCGAATTCAAATTTTGACATAACAGAGCGTGTGTAACCAATTTGAAAGACAAAACGGGCTAGGTCAAATTACAGAAAATTGTTGATTTTTCTCTTTGTATAACTCCGTCCGTTCGCTTCCACAAGCTCTGATATGCCAAAATTTCGATTCTACGCCCTAAAATTACCTAGATAAACAACTTTTGGAATAGAAATTGGTTAATATTAGCTTTTAGAGCTTTTTTAAAACATTTCAAAAGTTTATTGAATGTGCACCGCATACATTGCAACTCGTCCCACAGCTTTTATTACGCCAGCATCATTTTGCTTTTTCTCGAACGCAATACCAATGATTTGCAACGAATTGTCCATCGGTGAGACGGCTTTTATCCAATGCTCTCGATGTGAAGAATATTTTTGCTTTTGCTTTTTCCATTTTATGCATCAATGCTGATTTTTTTCTTGTGTATTGTTTTGAAAATTGAGTTTTTTAAAAGAGTAAGGTTACAATTTTTTTGCCTAAACTAGTTTAACTACATTTTGTACCAATGTACAGATCTATTAGAAAAAAAAGAAAAAAACTCGGCACTGGCCGGATCCCGCCGGAATATCTAGTGGAAGATACATCTTGTAGGCTTTTCCCAAATCTGTGATGATACGTTGAACAATGCCATAGAAGGCCTTTCACTCGGCCACATCTTGATCTTGATTGATTGATCATTGATCATTGATCATTCATTGATCATCTTGATTCATTCCTGAGTGCAAAAAGTCTTCCATAAATTTGTTTCTGGACATTTCAGAGGTTTCACAGGAATAGGGGCTTGCAGTTCACCAAATACGATCAAAGAAACAAAATTTCCTCAGAGTTGAAATTGAAGGGGTTTGGTTAGTGTTTTAGTTTTAGTGCTCAAATTGAATTGCAGTCTGTTTTCTGTGAAATTTAAGAGAATCTTTTAAGAAAAGTTTATTCTTTTCAATAAATGTAATATCTATTAGTGAAATAGTTGTATTAAAGGAGTATTTATTTTCAGTGAGTAGTGTTATAAGGCTTTTCGCGTGTAGAACTAAATCTACAAGGCTGCTGCAACAACGGACAACCCTGGGGGACAGTGGATTATCAAAAAAAATTGTGGGGGGCCGATACTTCAGTTTCGCGTGGAGGGCAATGCTGCAGTTTTCCCAGGGGGAAGGGGTGATAATACAGTGTGTGGGGGGAGTAATTCAGGATTTCCGGCAAATGTATTATCGCCCCCCCCCTTTTGTCAAAATGTTGTCTGCGGTCATTTTGAGACCAAAATCGTATTAATTGGTCAACTCACAAAAAGTTATAACATTTTGAAGACAAAAATGACGTTTGACGACTTTCTGCGCGCTAAAACGTGGATAATACCGTTTTTTGATCAAATGTGATTTTAAAAAATCTACAGCGGCGGCCCTACAGCGGCGCCCCCCCCCCACACCCCCCCCCCCCGCCCCCCCCCCCCCCCCCCCCCCCCGCCCCCCCCCCACCCCCCCCCCCCCCCCCCCCCCCCCCCCCCCCCCCCCGGGCGGCCCCCCCACCGCGCCCCCCCCCGCGGCCCCCCCCCCGCGGCCCCCCCACAGCGGCGACCCTACAGCGGCGACCCTACAGCGGCGACCCTACAGCGGCGACCCTACAGCGGCGACCCTACAGCGGCGACCCTACAGCGGCGACCCTACAGCGGCGACCCTACAGCGGCGACCCTACAGCGGCGGGGGGGGGGCCGCCGGCGGCGCCCCCGCGGCGGGGGGCCCCGGCGCGGCGGCCGGGGGGGGCCCCCCGGGGGGCGCCGCCCGCGGGGGCGCCCCGGGGGGGGCCCCCCGGCGGCTTCTTCAGTGGGGGGCGATAATGCAGTTTTCCCCAATCCTGATAAATTCACCTTCAACACACCCATGCTTGATAGAGTATGGCATGCAACTAACGTATTTTTTGGCATTATAATAGTTTTAAAATCGTCTAATCGTTTAAAATAGTTTTAAAATTTAAAAATAATAAGCGTCGATTTTATTGTATAGCTCAGTGAAGAGTTTCTCAGAGCTTTTCTATCAAAATAAATCTAGGAATGTACGAGTGTCCTCCCTCATAAATATAATGTATCAAAATTTGTGAAATTCCAATTACTTTCAAACTACCCACCAATAATCAGCAAATTTATTTGTTGAAGTAAATTTAGAAGCAAATTTTCGCCGCCCCCAGTTTCAACACCCGAGCGGGGCTTTAAATTCTGCCGATAAACTTCACCTTACCTATGAGAATGTGCACAAAAGGGTATTTTGTGAGTCAAGTGCTAAAAGCGCAATGAAAAAGAGAATTTTGAAAAGTGGAACACCAAATATGGTTTTAAGTACATCCTCGTAGGTAAGGTGAAGTTTATTGGCGGAATTTAAAGCATTCTACCGTTCTACCGTAAACCTCTTGATGGCGCGTTCTAAAACGTGCTCCTTTCGAATATTTAAGGAGACTTTCTGCCATAAATTTCATTCTTTTCAATTCGTCCAGCAGATGTATATACCGTTACTACTGTTATAGTACCCGATCCTCCTCTAGTGTGTGCCACACGGCCGGCTACTTTTACGGGAGCTTGTTTACGGGAGCTAGTAATTTTGTTCCAGGACTTTTCCTGTTTCCAGGAGTTTTTGAGCCGTGAAGCCACCAAAGATGGTTTTGTGTACATTCTACCGTAAACCTCTCGATGGCGCGTCCTAAGACTAAGACGTGGCCCTTTTGGATATTTAAGGAGTCTTTTTGCCATAAATTTCATTCTATCCAATTCGTTAGGCAGGTGTATATGCCGTAAATACTTTAATAGTACCCCACCGGCCTCTAGTGTGTGCCAAAGGGGCGGGGTACTCTTACATTGTTTACACGAGCTAGTAATAGTATTTTGTTCGGCGACTTTTCCTTTTATTAATTACGATGTTATCTCTGCTATAATTTTTTATTTAGGGGAGATGTCGAATAGGCCGGAGATCAGCAAGATTCAAATTGAGGCTAATCCAAGTGGTTTATCCAATATCCAAGTGGAACTGAGCCAACCATTGTTCCAACAGGACTTCTTGGCACAATTGCCAAACGAGGTTTGTTAAAGCCTGTGGGAGTAATTGTTTAATTTTAGATTGCTTATCGCATCATTGCCCATTTGACACCGCGCGATTTGATGACTTGTGCTGGCGTTTCGCGGACGTGGCAACGGATTTGTGAAGATGATCAGACGTGGCGTCAGAAATGTTTGGAGAAAGGATATGTGGAATTTGATGCGCCAAGGTTTGTTACAGTTTTGAGCAGATAATATAACACTTAAAAATACAATTCTAATAGATTTATATTAAACTAGATTTTAAGACTTGTAAAATATAGGACAATAATGTTATTAATTCCAAAGCAAAGGAAGATGTAAAGCGAAAGAAATCATATGATAATGTTTGTTTAAATGAACTGGTTCATATTTAAGAAATCGCTTGTAAAAAGACTCGTCTCAAACTTGTTTTTGTTTAGCTTTCGTTTTCTCGGAGGTTGGGCGGCGAATCGACCAAATAAGCAAGCGGGAATGACAATCTGTTCACATATGGACCTTCAAGAAGCACAGCAGAATCGACAAGCACGCGAGGTCGCATATGGACAGTTAGTGACCTAACTTGTTGCTGTATTTAATTTTTTCTAGGTGTTATGAGCGATCGTCATGGAAGTCGCTATACTTGCGAAAGAGGCGAATCATTTCGAATTGGCGATCCCGAGCGATTCAATCTAGCACTGTTATAGAGGTTTGAATAAATGGTTTGACCGTAAAAATGGTTTTTAGGATGACTTTCAACAAACCATTTGTCTACAAATTCGCCCTGGTCGTATCATTACTGGTTCTCATGATTATAAGTTGCTGGTCTGGAATGTTGAAGATGCTCAAGTTTCTTCTGTTTAATTGTTATTGTACCTCCGAATTTAGCCGGCTTTTGCTCTAACGGGTGCTAATGGTCCCCCCATGTCGTATCAAGTGAGCGAACATGGCAAATACATTGTCTGGTTAGTTAATAGAATATAGCTAGTGCAATTCATAAGAGTTGCCAATGAGGCTAAAAAGGTTCAAACAAAAATTCTTATGACAACAAAGTATGTTGTAATATTTCAGTAGCGGGTTTGATGGATCGTTGCGCGTTTGGTGTGGTCAAACCGGTGCCCAGCTTCATGTTTTGCGGGGACATACGGAACATATTTCATGCATGAGTCTACATGGCACAACGTGAGTGATCTGAATTTTCTGTTTAAGCTAAGATCATAATGTTTTAGTCTTGTTTCTGGATCGCACGATCAAACACTCCGAGTTTGGGACATTGTCGACGGGAAATGCCTTCACATTTTGCCTGTCGCTGCTTGGGTATGTGTATCAAAGTTTTAGCTTAAGCTAAGTTTCAGAGATGTGTGAAATTTGATGGAGAACGGGTTGTATTTTTTGGCCTTGGTTGTACCGTAAACGTTTGTACAGTTATCAATGCTATTTATAATATTCTATTAGGTTTGGAATGTACACACGGAGGAGTGTTTGCACACGCTGACGGGTCACACATGGCCAGTCGATTCACTTTTGGTGAGTTGAATTGTCGAATTTTGGCTTTAATCAGAATTCTGTTTTAGTTTGAGCCAGAGCGGGATCTTGTCGTGGCGGGTAGTGACGGAACGATTCGCGTCTGGGATGTGCAAAGAGGAAGTGGTTTTTACTTTTTCACTATTCTGTTACAATCTCATCTATATTTGTTTCTTTCAGCATGCATCGCACTTCTTCGCTCTCTTGAAGAGTTACCGTTTGCAGGTCGTTGCTTTGGGTTGCAGCTTCGCGGAAACATTTTGGTCTCCTATTACGACTCGGACGTTTGGGTATGTTTAATCAATCCTATGAAAACTACTTCTTTTTCTTAGATTTGGGACATTCGTGAGGGTGGCTCGTGCATTCACCACTTACATGGCGTAAATGGTCAGACGTCGACCATCACTTCGTTGCAATTGCTGGACTCGGGACTTATGGTGACAGGTTCGGAGAATGGCCGGGTCATGCTGTGGGATGTGGATAAAGGTATGCTGTTTTAAATTACCTGATACTATAGGCAATAAGATCCAGACTGCAAGCTGGGATTTAAAGTAGAATTTATTCATTACATAACTTGTCTCGTCAATTATTCAAGCCTAAATCTATGGCAAGGTTCAGTGTCTTGTTGTTAATTTTTTTCTATTTTAAGGTACTTTCGTTCGTGATCTCGTTCGTTCTCGTTCTAGTGAACCTGGCCGTTATTATTTGGATTTCAAAGCCACTGAAACATCACTCGTATGTGGAGTTCGATCGGAAGATAGGACCGAGGCCACAAAGCTCATCTTCATCGATTTTGATGCCTCATATCCATAAGTATTTTTGTATTTTTGCGCTTTCCCTAGGGCTTATTGTGATTTTCCGAAGAATTTGCTCGGTTTTTCCATTCTTTTGAACGTTCATTGCTTTCCTTTCAATAATTACGCTCATTATATAGACTTGTATGCCATAGTCTTGATTATTGTTTGAATTAGTTGGTTGGTTGCTGTTAACCTTCGATTATTTTTAGTCCGTATTTTCTATATAAAATTTAAAAAAATCTATAAACCACAAATCTAGAATAGACGCTCTTTCTTCCTGCTTTCCTAAATCGCCTGCAAAGATTGTGCAGAAAATAGGTGTTGTGAAAGATCGTTTATTCTGTCCTTTTTTGTGGAACGTAACAATTTTGTCCATAAACCTCAATACAAAAAAAGTTCATTGTGATAGTTCCTGAAATCGAAAACTGAAACAAAATTAAGTGGTGGAAGGTCAAATAAAAAGAAAAACAAAGGATGGAATTGAACTGAAGCAAAAAATGAAGAAATCGTTTCGTACATAAGCCCTCTTCTCACTGCGCCGCCACATTTGACTGGGACTGAAAGAACTTTCTGAGGGAATCCCATTTTGGCCAGGAAAATTCCATTTCCTGGCTACAAATTTAAAACGTTTGTAACTTTTGATAGGGAGCCATTTTGCAACAACGAAAAGCAGGTTCGGAATCAGCATGAAATTGTGCATCGCATCAACTGAGTCCCAATGCAAAAGCTGCGAGCTTAAGTGAGTGCACTTCCCTTGCAAGTTTAATCTGTTTCTTTTTATTTGTGAGCAAGTTTAAGCAATTTATCTTACATGTGTAAGTTGTGTAGCAAAAACCACTTACACAGTTTAAATATACTTTATTCATAAAGCGTTGAAACATCGAGCAAATAAAGAATTACAGGAGTTGATATGGATCAAAACAATATCGAATGTTTCCAGCAACCAACGAAGCATGCGAAGCTCAAAAAATAAAAAATGGAAAAAAAGGTTCACAAAATCAAGACTATGGCATAAAAGTGTATATAATGTGGGAAATATTTGAAATATAATCACAAGCAATGAAAGTTCAGTAGAATTGAAAACCAAAAGAATTCCTCAGAAAATCGCAAGGCTCAGGGAAAGTGCAAAAATACGAATATACCTACGGATACGCTGCGTCAAAATCGATGAAGATGAGATTTGTGCTCTCTGCCAATCTCGCTTCAAATGCACCCACGAGCAATGTTTCAGTCGCTTTGAGAAGCCAATTGTAACCGCCATATCCACACGATGCAAGACGAACGAGATCACGAACGAAGATACCTAAAAGTGAAAAAAAAATTAACAACTAAATTAACAACAACAACAACAACTAGATACTGAACCTCAACGTAGATTTAAGCTTGAATAGTTGACGAGCCAAGTTCTGTAGTTAACAAATTCTACTTTAGCTGAAAACTTGAAGTCTGGATCTCATAGCCTATAGTATTCGGTAATGTAAAACAGCATACCTTTATCCACATCCCACAGCATGACCAAGCCATCCATCGAACCTGTCACCAAAAGTCCGGAGTCAAGCAATTGCAATGAAGTGACGTTCGACGTGCGACGATTTGCCTCTTGTAAACGATGAGTGAACGAGCCACCGTCACGAATGTCCCAAATGTCCCATACACGGAGCGTTTGATCGCCCGATCCAGAAACAAGACTAAAACATTACGATTTTAGCTAAAGCACAAAATTCAGTTCACTCACGTTGTTCCATGTAGACTTATGCAGTTAACAGTACCCGTATGCCCCTGTAGAACATCACGCTGGAAACCGGTTTGACCACACCAAACGCGCACCGTTTGATCAGCCGAGCCACTTAAATATTGCAATAGACTTTGTTGTCACAAGTATCTTTGTTTAGAAAATTGTTAGCTTCTTTGACAACACTTATCAATTGCACTAGCTAGAGCCTATTAATTAACCTGATAATGTATTTGCCATCATCGCTCATTTGAAATGTCAAAATACGACCCATATGGCCAGTTAGAGTGAAAGCCGGCTAAATTAAGACGTACAATATTAGTTAAACGAAACAAACCTGAGTATCATCAACATTCCAGACCCGCAACGTATTATCAGCAGAACCAGTAATAATACGACCAGAGTGAACTTGTAGACGAAAGATCCCTTTATAGACCTAAAAAAAATTTTAGCCAAAACATTTGTTTAAACCTTTTGGACAGTGCTTGATTGAATCGCTCGGGATCGCCAGTTTGAAATGATTCGCTTCTTCCGCAAGTACAGTGACTTCCATGATGATCGCTCATAACATCTAGAAAAGATTTAATTTAGCAACAAATTGCGTCACTAACTTTCCATATGCGATCTCGCGTTCTCGTCGATTTTGACGTGCTTCCTGAAAGGTCATATGTGAGGAGATTGCGATTCCCCCTTGCTCATTTGCTCGATTCGTCGCCCAACCTCCGAGAAAACAAAAACTAAAAAAACAAGTTTGAGACGAGTCTTTTTACAATCGATTTCCTAAATATGAACCAGTTCATCTAATCAAACATTATCATGATTTCTTTCGCTTTACATCGTTGTTTGCTTTGGAATTAATAACATTATTGTCCTAGATCTTACAATCCTTTAAATCTAGTTTAATATAAATCTATCAGATTTGTATTTTTAAGTGTAATAACATCGACTTAAAATTGTAACAAACCTTGGTGCGTCAAATTTCACATATCCTCTCTCCAAACATTCCTGTCGCCACGTCCGATCATCTTCACAAAGCCGCCGCCACGCCCGCGAAACGCCAGCACAAGTCATCAAATCGCACGGTGTCAAGTAGGCGATGATACGACAAGCAATCTAAAAATAAGCAATTACTCCCACAAGCTTTAACAAACCTCCTCTGGCAACTGTGAAAGGAAGTCTTTTTCGAACAATGGTTCGCTAAGATGCCTGAATTTGAAAATTTCACTATTTAAGGTCATTCTCTTTACCTCATGAACCGAACTTGTGGATCGGAGAGTGCTCGGACGAGGCTTTGAATGGCAAAGCTCTGTTGAGTCAGAGACTCAACAGCTTCTGTCAACGCTTTTATCTTTTCTGCCGTATTTGCGTCGCCAGCCACTAAGAGCACGTTCCGGTCGACGAGTAGTTTCTTGGCTTTTTCTCGGCTCTCGTTGGTCCCTTCCTCGAGCAGCTCCAACAGCTTTTGGTTCAGTTCCACATGGATGTTGACCGGCTTTGTGAGCACGGGTGATGGCTTTGAATCGGGCTTCAGCTTTGCCGACAGTTTCTCCAGGATATCCGCTTTCAAAGTCTCGAGTTGAGTCTTGCTGCTCTCCGGCTTGTCCGACATCGACCCTAAATGAAAAATTACAGCAGAGATAACACCGTAAATAATAAAACAAAAAAAACCCGAAGACAAGACTACTACTAGCTGCTGTAAATACTGTAAATACTGTGAACGGGGTCAAAGAATTGTTCATTCGTGATTTTAGACGTAAAGTTTGTTTTGCGTTCTAGCACAAAGAGCCAAGTTTTCAGTGCTAAATTGATTTAATTTGACTATAATTGTAAATAAAGCACGAAAGCATCTTAAAATGGCTTAAAATCCCTTGCTGCCCTCGGGTTGAACAAAGATTTTTTGGGAAAAGACGGCATTTTTTTAAGCAGCACACTGTATTTTAGATTTGCACATTTTAGTGGGTAGTTTGAAAGTAATTGGAGATTAAGGCCTTCACTTTCAGGCCCTAATCTCGACATGGTTTTCAACACTGATTCATACTTGGGCACGCTTTTAATGTATTAGCAACAGGGGACTATATCAAAAGAGCGCCAATGCAAAAAACGCTCAAAAGAGCGCGTACAGATTCAGGCGCACGAACATATTGTGCATGCAATCAATTCCCAACTTTTTTTCTCCACCCAAAAAACCCTGGATTGCTTGGTCGATTTTGCGTATAAAAATGCTCATTTCTTCAAATCCTAAACATCAATCATTTAACTTTTTTTTGTTTGTTATCTCAACAAAAGTTCTGCAAATTTTGTGGATCTATCGCTGAAAAAGAGAGAAATTCGTCGAAAAGGTATTGTTTTTCATTAAAAAAAAGTGATCGCAAATCTTCAGAAAATCAATGATTTTTTGCAGATTTCCTTGTTTAGATAGCGAAAATGCTTTCCAGAATGCTTAAAGCTTAGATTTTTGTTTTTGTGTTAGAGATTGTTAAAAATTGCTACAAAATTTGCTCATTTTGAGTTCAAATCGTCAAAATCGTCAAATTTTACAGCTTGCGATTAGCTCTTACAAGGGAATGGTTTTGGAAATCGAATGGAAATCGACTGGGAAACACAGTGCATAACATAGAATGAGCAATGGTGAACAAAACGCGACAAAAATTACCCGATAATAATCACGGAAACGCGAGGAACCTGGTATGGAAAATCGGGATTGAAAACTGATTCCTTTATAAGGCTTTTCTCGCTGACGGCCGGAGATAAGCTCGTGCTAGATGGCCAGCCAGCTTTGGTCTGCTAGATACCCAGCCAGCTTTGGTCTGCTAGATACCCAGCCAGCTTTGGTCTCGAAGCCAGCTTTGATCTGCTGGATACCCAGCCAGCTTTGATCTGCTGGATCCCTAGTCAGCTTTGATCTGCTAGATACCCAGCCAGCTTTGGTCTGCTAGTTGGGCCAGCTTGATCAACTCAATTAGCTCAACACTGAGACAATAAATGTCAATTTATCTTTTTGCCGCTATGGGACGCTTTGCAATAAAAGTTTTTAACCCGGAAAACGAGAAAATATATCAAAAGTTACTTTTAATCATTCATAAACAATTTGGAGCAAAACAATTTCAGAAATTTCGTCAGTTTTCTTGGTATTCCAAATTTAGAGAGATAAGGAACACTCGGGCAAAAAAAAACAAAAAATTTTTGCATGTGGACGGAATTGAACCCGAGGGCAAAAATCGGACTGCTGTTTTACAGAGCTAAGTCTTTATCCACTAGGCCACGAGCTTACCTCTGGAGAAAGGGTCAGGGAGAAAAGCCTTATAAAGGAATCAGTTTTCAATCCCGATTTTCCATACCAGGTTCCTCGCGTTTCCGTGGCTATTAGCGGGTAATTTTTGTCGCGTTTTGTTCGCCATTGCCCATTCTATGTTATGCACTGTGTTTCCAGTCGATTCCGAACTTTGAGCTGAGATCATTCTCTTGTTAAAGTTCAAAGGCAATGGTGAAATTGAACCCGATGGATAGGACCACCGTTTTACAGAGCTAAGCCTTATAAAGGAATCGGTTTTCCCAGTCGATTTCGAAATTTGAACTTCGAACCCCAAACCATTCCCTTGTTAGATCATATTCTTTTCGACAACAAGCTTTTGGTTTAAATCAAAAAAGCATAGACTAACACCAATTTATGATTTCTGTTGTTTGTGCGCTTTTTTGTTTTTTCTTTTTTCATTTGTCTTTGTCTTTGCATTTGTCTTTTTGGATCGAAAATACGTGACTCATGATGATGATAATGATAATAGAATGACATTAAAGAATTTCCTTTCACCCCGACAACTAGAACGAGACTAGTCTAACGAGTTTGGCGAACTTCTTGCTGTAAGATTTGAGAAAAATGGAACTATAAAGCTCGGAAAGACTTGGAATTGACTTGGCTCCATTTTAAAGCCCTCCGAGCTTTACCAACATCGAATTTCGATATTTTTGGCGATTCTGGCAGGCACTAGGCTAATCTAAAGCCTTACTTTAACGTTTTCAACGAAATACGGACTTGTCTTCACTTGGAATTGACTTGGTTCAGTTTTAAAGCCCTCCGAGCCTTATGAGCATCGAATTTCAATATTTTTGGCGATTCTGTCAGACACTAGGCCAATCTAAAGCCTTACTTTAACGTTTTCAGCTAAAACCCAAAATTTGCATTTTAAATTTTTCAAAAATTTCTACATTTCCTGACAAATTTTTGTACCTTATTCAAACATTATCCCAAGTCAACGCAATCGTTATTGTGCGATCCAGATCGACGATTAAAGCCGGTCCGGAGCTGGGAAAGCTCTTTGCCAACCCCGAAAATGGGTGGCTTCTCTTCTCCAGCTCCAGCAGCCGACCCCCTTTCCCCCCTACCAGCTCACCCCAATTTTCACACCCCCAATCACCGCCCAAAATCGCAAAATCCTTGAATTGAGCTCCAATTTTAGGGATAATCGTGTCATTTGCGAGATCTCAGCCTCTTTTCCTTATCATTTGTCCGCCAATTTCGACCCAGTTCTCCACTCTTTCGATTTCTCATCATTTTTGATTTGTTTTTCCAAAGATTTAAGCAAAATTTTGCGATTTTCTTTCGATCTGGAGGTCATCGAGGAAATTTAGGAAAGAATTTTTTTGATTTTGACAGTTTAAAAAATTTGAGCAACGTTGCGTTCATAGCTTCGACTTTTTCCTGAAATTTGCTAAAAGAATTGCTGAAAATTTTGCGATTTTCTTTCGATCTGGATGTCATCGGGGAAATTTAGCGAAAGAGTTTTTAGGATTTGATAATTTTAGGCAAATTTGCAATTTTTTGACAACAACCTTTTGAACAAAAACTGAGTTCGACTTGAGTTTTTAAGCTTTTTTTTTCTGTTGTTTAAAAGATTCAGCTTTCGAAATGTCATCCAGTTTGCCCGAATCAACTTTAGTTTCTTTCAAATTTCACATTTTTGATGGTTTTCCCCTCCAGCTCCCAGCTCACAATCCCCAATTTTCAGAAATGCTTCTACGGGCGGCCGCCTTGCTCGGGATCTCAGTGGTGCGTTCCAGAATGGCCGAATTTTTCAATATTTCATTCCATTTATTCCAATAGACTCAGAAAAAACGAAGAGAAGCTTTAGGTGTGCATACTAAACGCCCAGGATTGCACGTCGCATATCGGGACGAGAAACGTTTTCGGGCAATACCTTCAGTGTATCAAGGTTTGTGCGGAAAAACGTTTAAACTTTAAGAAATTACTCTAGATTTCCAAATTTCGGTGATTATCAATAAAAATTCAGCTTTTTAAGCTAAATTTAGCTAAATTTAAAAAGTCTAAAGTCAAAATTCATTAAAAAAAATCAATTTTTATACTTTTACTATGGCTATTTATGCATAAAAAGAACACAAAAACATAAAAATAATGAGAAAAAGTGAAAAGACTTTCTTGAGCATCAAATTTCTAATTTTCAAATTTAAACGAGAAAAATAAACGTTAGTTAATGCTTTTTAAAAGTCGTTAATGCTTTTTAAAAGTCTCTTTCCTTTTAAAGCATTCAAATTTGACTTAATTATTAAGAAATATTATATAATTTATAATTTCAAGGCAATAAAACGATTTACTTGCATGAATTCAATAGCTAGACTAAAATGCGTAAAGATTTAAGTAAAATCGATAAAGAACAAGACGAAGATTTGTCTTAAAACAGAATGAAAGCAATAATTTAAGCAATTTAAGATATAACAGTAAAAAAATAAACAAATTTCAATAGTAGATTGAGACAGAAAAAGACAACAGACAAAATTAAGCAAATTCGGTCTTTTCTGTAGTCGAAACGACTACAAAACGACTTTTCAATGAAAATTTAAATCAAAATTGCAAATATGGTGCTTAATATTAAAGTTAACTTAAGTTTTTGTTCTTTTTCCAGCACTCACTCGATCAGGATTACAAAGGATATGAAGAAGAGCTGCGAGAAGATTCGAAAAGAGCCGTGCAGGTAAAAGAAATAAAGCTAGCAAGAAAAGACAACAAGAAAAGACAGCAAGTAGAAGAAGTTGAGAAGAAGAAACTTTCTAGGCTTGTTTCGCGTCAAATATCGATGATGGGAATCGTCATGAGAAATGCGTGCTGACTGGAGCTGATTTAGAGAAAGTGGGATTTGAAAAAGATTGAAAAAAAAACGTAAATTCTAGCCAGCTTGGGATCGAAACGGTCCATTGAGAGATTGCACGATTTGCCGAACGGTTTGTGTTTTTGAAAATTGGAAAGGTTTATTCTGGTCTTGATCTGGATCTCGATAAAGTTCTTAAATCTTCTTACGGTAGCTTCTTACGGTAACTACAGTACCCAACTACTGTTCTACAGTACCCAGCTACAGTCCTAAAGCCCTAGAGTACTCAACTACAGTCCTACAGAGCCCAGCTAGTGTCCTACAGTAACCAGCTAGTGTCCTACAGTACCCAGCTAGTGTCCTACAGTACCCAGCTACTGTCCTACAGTATCCAGCTACTGTCCTACAGTACCCGGCTACTGTCCTACAGTACCCGGCTACAGCCCTACAGTACCCAACTGCAACCCTAAGGTACCCAACCAGACCCCTACAGTACCCAGCTAGTGTCCTACAGTACAAATCCGATTCCAGTTCGCTGCCGGTGCCATCAAAGCGATCAAAGCCACACCAGCCGACGATCAGAAATGCATTCGACAAGAGATCACAAAAGGTTTGTGCCTAAGTCAAAGCTTGCTTTGGGAAGATCTTAAATGGATAAAGATTGAGCAAAAATACATCTAAATTTGACCCCAACAAAACGGTGAAATCGGCCAGTCATTTCCCTCCAAAAGCTTTTGAGACCAAACCGATATGCCAGATTTTGAGCGATTGTGCACGCGCACAGAGAACAAAAAGCAATTTCCTTCTTTTCCTTTGTGAATGACACAAAAAGAAGAGATTCAACTAGAAATTTGTCTACTGGGGTTTTCAGGGTCGGCGAATCGATTAGAGCTATTCATTTTAGGTGTAAGTTTCATTTTTTACGACCTGGCTTCGTTTAACCGTTTTGATTAAGAGTTTTGTTATTAACTATATAAAAGAGGTGCGTCTGTCTGTTCGTTTGTCTTTCATTTATCGGTTTGTTTGAGTTCTCGGCTTCACGTGAGCCGATTTACATAATTTTTAGCTTATTAGGGTTAGACTTCGTTGTAGTTGTGCATCTCATAAATCGTTTTTTTTAAAAGATCAAAAGCCATGACACAGCCGAGAGTCGAACCCGGACCATGGGGGTTATAGAAAGGCACGCTCCCGGCTGAGCCACAGGGACATGGAAACCGGGCCGAAAAGTCCGCGGTTAACCGGATAGGCGGCTTTTCGGCTGGTCGGTTTGTTTCCTTTTGTTTTTTCTTTCCGAGCCTGACTTAACTTACTCTGGAGTCAGGAAAATCGAGTACTTTGTAGTGTAATGATTAGCACAGTTGGCCGGTAAGCGAAAGGTCGCGGGTTCGAGTCCCGGCTGTGCACAAGTTTTTGATCTTCCCTTTTTCCAACTCCTGTACTTTTCCTTTTTCCTTTTCAGCAATTGCTCGTGAAGCGAACGTCTGTTTGTCAAAGAAAATCGCGAATTTCGCCGGCGTTCCCGACATTCCCGATTTAGAAGAAGGATCTTTCGAGTTCAAAGATGACGTGTAAGTGAAAGAAATTGATAACGAGACGACATTAAATCTTAAAATCTATCTCTGCATTTCACAAACCAAAAACAGAATAGCCTTTCCAAAAAACTACTCAAATTTCATTTGTTTTATTCGATAGAAATGTTTTTCTGTCTCAAAAGGGATCAAAATTTCCTCAGATTAGATGATTTCCCATATGAAACTTAAGAAAAACTTCCGAAAGCATTTTTTTAAAATACTTATTGATTCGTTTGGAAAGCAATTGTTTTTAAAAAAGCTTTTTCTAGGATCCAATCGATTTCCGATCATATTTTGGTGCACTCACGGCTCTCGTTTTGTGGAGAGAGAAAGCCGAGCCGAGCTGAGAACAGCAAGTGAGTCAAGAAATTGGAAAATTCTCGTTGATTGAATGTTATTGAATGAATGAATTAACAAAAACATCTGTTTTTTTCTTTTTTTGCCGTTGGCAATCTAAAGTTTTTCTCAGCACCAACGCTTCGACTTTGACTATATTAACTGTCATTTGACGCAGAATGAAATTACGCATCGAATCACACCAAAAACTACTCTAAATGTAATATCTGCGCTAAGTTATGAGGCAAAAGGTTAAGGGACGTTCATTGTGGGCGGGCTTAACTTTTTGCCTTGTAATTTTGCGTGGATATTACATTTGGAGTTGATTTTGGTGTCATTCGAGTTGCAATTTCATTCTGCATCGAATGACGGTCACTATAGTCAAAATCCAAGAGTTTGTGCTGAGAAAAACACGAAAAACTTTAAATTGCCAACGGCAAAAATGAAAAACAGATGTTTTTGTTAGAAATTTGGAATAAATTAATGTTTTACTGGTTTTATTGCGTTTAGTGAAAGCTATCGTAAGCAAATATGCTCAAAAGCTATAATTTAATTTCAGACGCTGCCTGCGAAGCCCATTTGCCGGCTACTTGGAGAACCATTGTCAAAGTTGGTGTCTGGAATCGTAGACTAGCATTAAAACTCACAAAACTAACTTTAATTGGGCTTTAAAAGGATATTTTACACCCTAGCCACCGTAGCCTTAAAAAAATGAATTGTTTTTGGCTGAAAAACATCTAGTTCATTATACGACGCTATTTTGCGGCTCAGCTACCGTAACCCTCACTTCCAGTTATTGCCAATTGCGATTCCCGGCTCGCCGTTGGGTCGTGTGCCACCCAGATCCCAGCCACACGCAATGCCGTCTGTGGTTGCATCCATGAAACTCGAGAAGAGCTCAAGCAACGCATCGCCTCGATCTCAGAGGTTTTCAATGAGGTGAGAGGACTTTTTGAAAGATCCATAAGCGATTCTGAAAGTCACATGATAATTTCCAGCTGCTTTCCGGCTCGTCTCGTGGCCCAGTGATCGGCTCATCTTCGAAGGTCGACGTCTGTGTTGCAGCCATCAAAAAACACATGTTAGTGATTATTTTAAGATCTTCTCCAGCCTTCTGTGCGCTCCAGATCGGCCAAAAAATTTGAAACCAACTCATTTCAACGCTGAATTTTCCTGAAAATGGATCGAATAGCCTCTGGGAACTCTAGATTGGCGTAAATCAATAGAAATCAACACAGAATCAACTAAATGTTATGCCGTTAACTGTAATCTAATTGTTATTCTATTGGCTTTTGGAATAAACTTGGTTTTCATCAAGTTTACAGTCCTAATTCAACTTACTGATCACTCTAGGATCACTCCCGTGAACGACTGGGTGACAGTGATCGACTCAGCCTTGTCTACTTGTATCAGAAAGAAGCCGGCTGGTCAAAATCTTGGGATGGAAGCGTTGTTGAATGTTGGATGTAGAAAGGTTTATCTTAGTTGTTCAGCTTTTTTTCTTAAAAAAGGTAATTTAGGTAATTGCTGATACAACTGGAACGGCTTCTGGTCAGCTCAAAATCGGCTTCGATTTCGTTAACAATTTGATTGACGCCATGGTGGAAAGGTGGGAAAAGGAGAAAATTAAAGATAAAGTCAAACTTTGATTTACTTTAGCGATTTAAAAGAGATCTTTTCAATCTCAGGAATCACTTTTTCTTTCAAGTTTCCTTACAAATCATTCTTTTTTTCAGATCAGCTCGTTTCTGTGGCGGAGAGCATTGTCTACAGGGTTGAAAAATTATTATTTCCGATTTTCGAACAAAAAAAACCCATCATTTCTGTGCAATTTCCTATTTATTTATGTCTTAACAAACTTTATTTCAGCCACATTTTAGTATAAATCTGTCTTTTATCAGAAAATGTTTAAAAAAGAAAATGTTTCTCTGCTTGTTTTGCTTGTCTTGTCTGCTTGTCTGCTTGTTTTGCGAAATCAAATGCTGACTTAACAAGTCAGTCAAATCTCAAGAAAAGACCTCAAAGAGAAAAATCATTATTCGACATGATAAGGCCGCATGTTTCGAAGATCCCTCGTTCTAAACTAAACTCATTTGAATGGGAGTAAACCCATCCAGCATACAGTGGATGATCCATCCAGCATACAGCCCTGATCAAAATGATATAGTATTGCCTTTATACATTAAAGGGTTGACCTACTAGAAAGATTTACCAAAAAAATATTTCTTTCATAATCACCTACGACAGATGAAAATTTCTCAGTGCTCAACGTGCACAATGCCACCCACGTTTTCTCGTCGTTTATTCACGCTGAAACGGGGCATTCCCACGATGAAACGTGGATTTCAAAAGATAAAGGATATCGGCCGAGAATTGGATAAAACTGCGGAAAGGAAATGCGAATTAATACCGTAATAAAAAAAGAAGATTTTGACTATTTATAGAAATTTACAAAAATTGAGAGTGAAAACTCTAGCTGAGAAAGCTCATAAACCAAAAAAGGAGAATCTTTTGGATCTTTTGCAAAAACCACAAGCATATATTATGATAGAAATATAGAAGAAACTCAAGGTCAAAAGCTCCCAATTAATATCATTCCAATGGATAACCAATAGAGTTATCCCGGCCGCCGGAATACCAATTGTGAAAATAATCCCCGATACCAGCAACCAAAGCCATTTCCTCCATTCCAGGTTATTTTTTCGGGTTTTGTACGCGAAATAGAGCAGGAAGAGATCTAGAAGCAAAGATCTTTTTTTAGGTTTTTGCTTTTATAGCTAAAATTCTTCCTTTTCTTGATTTAATTTCTTTTTTATGAATGAGGCAGCGAATTTTCTATCGCCGAGTCGATCAGATCACGAAATTCCAACTTTCTGATGAGACATTTCGTCGCCGATATCACCTTACATATCAAGGATTTCTGCGTCTTGTACAATTCATGCGCCCATTCTTGTGACAAGGGTATTCGAGGACGCTTTCACCACGATTTCGAGTTTGATAAATTGCAAGCTCTGCGGCTGAATATGACGAATAAAAAATTCTTCGCCCCCTTCAGGTTAAATACCCGTAAATCTTCGCCGCCCGCAGCTTCAACACCCCAGCGTCTTTTCAATTCTGCTGATAAACCTAACCTTATCTACGAGATGGTGCACTAAAGGTTATTTTGTTGGTGAAGCGCTAAAAAGCGCAATGGAATGGAGCTTTCTGAAAACTGGAACCACAAAGTATGGTTTTGTGTACATTCTACCGTAGGCCTTTTGATGGCGAGTTCTAAAACGCGCCCCTTTCGTGTATTTAATGAGACTTTTTGCGATAAAATTCATTCTGGCCAATTCTTTTAGTAGGCTTATCTCTAATACTCTAATAGTACCTCATCCTTACCCTACGGGTAGACTTGCTTATCGATTTTATCGATGCAACAAACGGCATGCTAAGGTTTGAACATGCAGATCTCTGTTTCTAGAACAGCTATCAACTTATTTCATTGGAAAGCTTTCATTCATTGTAATGGCTGCGGTACCATTACAATATTTACGGTAGCTAGTAGTAGTATTTGGCTCAGGGGTTTTTCGTTTTCTTATTTATAGTGTTATCTCTGCTGAAATTTTTCATTTAGGGGAGATGTCGGACAAGCCGGAGAGCAGCAAGACTCAACTCGAAGAGTAAAGAAATTGACCTTAAACAGTGAAATTTTCAAATTCAGGCATCTCATCCAACCATTGTTCCAAAAGGATTTCTTGTCACAGTTGCCAGTGGAGGTTTGTTTTTTGAAGTTTATGGGATTAATTGTTTATTTTTAGGTTGCTTATCGCATCATCGGCTATTTGACACCGTGCGATTTGACGGTTTGTGCTGGCGTTTCGCGGACGTGGCAGCGAATTTGTGAAGATGATCGGACGTGGCGAAAGAAATGTTTGGAGAAAGGATATGTGAAATTTGATGCGCCAAGGTGTGTTACAGTTTTGAGCAAATGATATAAAATTTAAAAATATTGGGTTGGGGAGAATGAGTCGGCGCCAAACTTTAAAGGGACTTTTTGCACACATAAAGCCTTCTTTAAACATACGTTTGGTTTCATCAAAAGGATCCACTATTTCTCTACAAAATGACTTTTGAGAGATTCCACAAAGCTTTTCTTTCGTGGAGTTTATGAACTTCCAAACGCAGCTGGTTAAAATGGCAGAGTCCGACTCATCATTTGAACAGTTTCTTTCACATAAACCTTCTTTGGTGTTTATATAAAAAAGATAAAGCACATTCAATTACTTAAGTTGCCAAATTTGCAGGAAGATCCCACCAATGGTTTTTTCTAGATGACAGTTTGTAGATTTTGATGTGAAAAAATGGCTTTTTCTTGAGCGGAGGCGCTGTTTGAATTTTCTTTTAAATGTCATTTTGTAGAGAATTAGTTAACCATTCTACAAACGCATATTATTTGACGAAGTCTGCTAGAAGTTTCAGACATTTTTTTGATTTTCGGCGCCGACTCATTCTCCCCAACTCAATACATGTCTGATAGATTTATATTAAACTAGATCTTACACTTCTAATGTATAGGATGATACTGTTATTAATTCTACAGCAAACAAAATATAATTTTTGTTTCGATGAACTGGATGACATTTAAAAACACGATTATTAGAGGATTCGTCACAAGCTTGTCACTAGCTTCTTTTTGTTCAGTTTTCGTTTTCTCGGAGGCTGGGCGACGAATCGAGCAAATGAGGAAGCGGGAATCACAATCTTCTCACATATGGACCTTCAAGAAGCACACCAGAATCGACGAGAACGCGAGATCGCATATGGACAGTGAGTGACGGAACTTGTTGCTGAGTTAAATTTTTTCTAGGTGTTATGGGCGATCGCCATGGAAGTCGTTGTACTTGCGGAAGCAGCGAATCATTTCCAATTGGCGCGCCCGAGCGATTCAAGCAAGCACTGTCCAAAAGGTTTAAACAAATGTTTTGGCTATAAAAATTGTTTTAGGCTCGCGATGATAATGCGGTCGATCATCTACAAGTTCAGTCTGGTCGTATCGTTACTGGTTCAAAAGGTAATACGTTGCGGATCTGGAATGTTGATGATGCTCAAGTTTGTTTCGTTTAATTATTATTGTATGTCTTAATTTAGCCGTCTTTCACTCTAACTGGCCATATGGGTGCTGTTTATACGTCCCAAGTGAGCGATGATGGCAAATACATTGTCAGGTTAGTGAATAGGCTCTAGCTAGTGCAACTGATAAGTGTTGTCAAAGAAGCTAACAATTTTCTAGACAAAAGTACTTGTGACAACAAAGGCTATTGCATTATTTAAGTGGTTCGACTGATCGAACGGTGCGCGTTTGGTGTGGTCAAACCGGTGTACAGCGTCATGTTCTCCAGGGGCATACGAGTATTGTTTACTGCATAAGTCTACATGGCACAACGTGAGTTATCTAAATTTGGTGCTTTAGCTAAAATCATAATGTTTTAGTCTTGTTTCTGGATCGTCGGATCAAACGCTCCGAGTCTGGGGCATTGCCGACGGGAAATGCCTTCACATTTTGGCTGGTCACTTAGAGACGGTACGTGTATCAAAGTTATAGCCTAAGCAAAGTAAATTTCAGGTTTCGTGTGTACAATTTGATGGAAAGCGGGTTGTGTCTGGTGCCTATGATTTTACTGTAAAGGTTTGCAATGTATTTTTTTCAATTTTATTGTATTCTATAAGGTTTGGAATGTACAGACTGGGGAGTGTTTGCACACGCTGACGGGTCACACGAAACCAGTCCTTTCACTTTTGGTGAGTTGAATTGTCAATTTTAGGCTTTAATCAGGATTCTGTTTTAGTTTGAGCCGGAGCGCGATCTTGTCGTCTCGGGAAGTCAGGATGGAACGATGCGCGTCTGGGATGTGCGAAGAGGAAGTGGGTTTTGCTTGGTTGCTATTTTGTTGCAATGTCATCTATATTTGTTTCATTTAGCATGCATCGCAATTCTTATCAGTCATGAAAGGCCCTACTGTGGCATGCAACTTCGCGGAAACAGTTTGGTCGCCTGCTATACCGGCTCGGACGTTGGGGTACGTTTAATCAATCGTAGGACAACTACTTCCTTTTCTTTAGGTTTGGGACATTCGTGAGGGTGGTTCATGCATTCATCGCCTGCAAGACGCAAATGGTCACACGTTCAATATCGCTTCATTGCGATTGCTCGACTCGGGGCTTTTGGTGTCAAGTTCTTACGATGGCTGGGTCAAGCTGTGGGATGTGGATAAAGGTATGTTGTACTAAATTACCTAGTAATGTAGGCTATAAGATAAGCAAATTTGTCCAGAGTTCAAGTTTTCTTCTAAAGTAGAATTTATTAGCTACATGATTTGACTCGTTAACTATTCAAGTTTAAAGCTATTTTCAGGGTAAGTATTCTGTTATTAATTTTTTATCAACTATACGAGAATTTTTGTGGTTTTCAGGTATCTTTGTTCGTGACCTCGTTCGTCTTCAGGCTGGCAGTTGGTTTCGGCATCTCTTCGCAACCGAAACATTTCTCCTATGTTCAATTATATCGCGAGACCGAACCGAAAACGGAAAGCTGATCTTGATCGATTTTGACGCATCGTATCCATAGTTATATTCTGATTCAGCGTTTGTGATTTCCTTTAAAATATTTCCCACGTTTTGCAGACTTTCTTGTATGCTAAAGTTTTCATTTTGTTAGCCTTGATTTTGCCATTAATCTGCTTTTATTTACTAAAAATTATTCTCATAACAACAATCGTGAGCAAGTTAGCAAAGAAATTGATAATGAGATTTACGTATCAAAATTTGCATTTAAGAAATCTGCATAGAAATTTACGTTAAAAAAAATTATTTAAGGTTATTAGATATAAAGGGTTCGAATACAGATGACTTTATCATTCGAGTTTGACATCATGATGTGGGGTCTTTTGACATGCTGATTCCGGATTCGACGATTTATTAGAGGTTGGTCACCTTTTTTTTGCTTCTTGCTCTTTTGCTTTGTCGTTAATCCGTGCAAAAGTTAAAGAAAACCCTTTAGATCCCAGAATTCACCTCTTTCATTGTGTTGTCAATGACGTTTTCGAGATGTTTATTGCAACAGACAAAACCTGAACAAATCGTTGACGGTAGTTTAGGGGTTAAATGGAAATTCGAGGAAACTTTATGATTTGTGTTTACCTTTCCCGTTCACATAACATCCTGGAATGTCGACTTTTGGCGGTGGTGGGACTTTGATTTCGAGAATTGGTGGCGGAATGTTTGAAGTCTGTTGTTTGTTTGAAGTTTACACTTCCTTTCTAACTTACTCTTGATACTTCCTTTCTACCGTAATCAACTGTGTAAGTGCCCACTTCCAAGGTCGAATACTTTCGTAGAGCTTCGAACTTCGTAAACCCACAGAAAACTCATATTAGTTTTCCAAAAATGTAAAGCTAAAGGCAAAGATTTGTAGCCTGTTAAATCACAATGAATTTTTCGCTCAAAATTTCTCAGAACAAAGAAAAATAAGTTTCTTTCCTGATTTCACCAATGACCACAGATTTTCGCGATTCGAACTTTTGTAATCAAAAATCACAATTTTTGCCTCAATTTTCGCCACAAATTTCGCCTCAAATCTCGCCTCAAATTTCCGACTTGAACCCATAAATCTTCTCGAAATTCGATAATGCCAATGGATTATTTTAAAACTTTCTTTTTTGCAGAGAAGTTAGACGAGAACTTTGATTTGTGGGAATGGAGAGATTTGAGAGGGATCAAGGTAGAGAAAGTGACGTTATTTTGTTGTCAAAATCAGAAGTCAATGGGTTGCTGCGGGGAAAAGTCCGAGCACGACATCATGCCAAATGTGCATGAGAAGGAGGTGCTAGCAGAAAAGGATCAAATTATTTGGGCCACGTATCATTTGCGTCAAATTTCGGCTTTTCAACACACTTCCCTACCAACTCTGATTGTTTATTTCTATTTTTTTCTCGTCAACGTTGCTCGCTACATGACGCCTTCGTCGGATCTGAAAATGACATCAAATCGATATAAAGGGTAAAAAGTCTAATCGGTGACACAAAAATGATTGTTTTTGAGGTCTGTATGGGTATTTAAATGTGTTTCTTATTGAAAACAGTGAGAACGGAAATTGTGAAGAGGAAAACTGAAAAATGTTGGTTAGAAGTTGGGAAAAAGTGATTTGTTACAGTGATCTTTAGAAATTTGGTGCAAATGAAACGTGGCGCAAAGGATTTTAGAGCAAAAAAACGTGGAGCTTTTGCTAGCATCTCTTGAGAAGAAGTTTACGCTCTCGGTGCTCTGAGATTTGAAAGAGCCTATCTACTAGGAAATTTTGAATGGCAAGACAACACTTAACGAACTCAAATGCTCCGAATGCTGACCGAAATCAAATTCGGACTTAACAAGTCAGTCAAATCTCAAGAAAAGACCTCAAAGAGAAAAATCATTATTTGACATGATAAGGCCGCATGTTTCGATAATCCCTCGTTCTAAACTAAACTCATTTGAATGGGCGTAAACCCATCCAGCATACAGTGGATGATCCATCCAGCATACAGCCCTGATCAAAATGATATAGTATTGCCTTTATACATTAAAGGGTTCACCTACTAGAAAGATTTACCAAAAAAAATTTCTTTCAGAATCAGCTACGACAAATGCAAATTTTTCAGTGCTCAACGTGCACAATGCCACCCACGTTTTCTCGTCGTTTCTTCACGTTGAAACGGGGCATGCCCACGATGAAACGTGGATTTCGAAAGATAAAGGATATCGACCGAGAATTGGATAAAACTGGGGAAAGGAAATGCGAATAAATACTGTAATAAAAAAAGAAAATTTTGACTATTTCTAGAAATTTAAAAAAATTGAGAGTGAAAACTTTAGCTGAGAAAGCTCATAGACAAAAATGAGAATCTTTTTAGATTTTTTGCAAAAACTACCCGCATATATTATGATAGAAATGTAGAAGAAACTCAAGGCCAAAAGCTCTCAATTAATATCATTCCAATGGATCACCAATAGAGTTATGCCGGAATGTCAATTGTGAAAATAATCCCCGACACCAAAGCCAACCTGACAACCAAAGCCATTTCCTCGATTCCGGATTGTTTTTTCGGGTTTTGTACGCGAAATGGAGCAGGAAGAGGCCTAAAAAGAAAGATTTCTGATTTTACTACATTCAAATGCAAATATCTATTGATTTTATTCAATATAAAACTTTGCAGTCATAATACCATTAACAGTATTGTTACACTATCCCATTTTCCTGAGCCTCAGACTCCGAATTCGTGATTTTCGATTCTTTGTTTTTCAGGTTTTTGCTTTTATAACTTGAATTCTTCCTTTTCTTGTTTTAATTTCTTTTTTATGAATGAGGCAGCGAATTTTCTATCGCCGAGTCGATCAGATCACGGAATTCCAACTTTCCGATGAGACATTTCGTCGCCGATATCACTTTACATATCAAGGGTTTCTCCGTCTTGTACAATTCATGAGCCCATTCTTGTGACTCGATATTTGGCGAGCAATTCGTTTCAAAATAGTTTGATCTTGCTCTCTTGGAATCTCTCAGCAGACCATTTCACGACTTCTCCACAAAGCGATCGATGTTAAAATTGTTAGTTCAAATTGTTGAAATACCCGTATTCAGACGGCGAGAAGGATCGATGTACGATGACATTCAGCAATCTTCTCCCAACTATTTGGGGTTCTCTCGATGGCACATCTAATTGCGCCACCAATGCTTCATCAACACAAATTCTTCTTCATCTCCTCTAACAGATACAAACAAGCCACAGAAGAAATATCATTTAATTGCTGACAAGGGTTATGCAAACATCCAAATTTGCATGCCACTACTTCGAAATGCTTACAGCGCTCAAGAAAAGAAATTGAATTACATTCTTGCGTGTCATCATCGAGCAGTTATTCGGAGTACTTAAAAAAAAGATTTCCAATTCTCAAGAGTTGTGTACCACTCAACTTTGTTCCAAACGCCCAGACCAAACCAGTAGCCAGTCCTGACCGGGCTTTACGCGCCTTGGCCTATAAATTGTTGGCTTTACTGAAAGCCTGACTCACAAAAAATCCCTGGACTTGGCTTGGATTACTGAATTGTTTGGATTTTTTTTGCAAACCTTGCTTCTCACGAACCTGATCAGGAAAATATGGAGGCGGAGGTTCATTTGGTAAAAGAAAATCGGATTGGGGGCCGATTCCGAAACCCGGTGATGACACTGGTGATTCGTTCTAAAATTTCTCGTAAACTATTCAATAACAAACGCTCTTTGCACAAGATTTATCGATCTTTTTCGGCTGGATTCTGATTACTCAACCCTGGAACTCCTAGTAGCTTCGTTCATCAGTTTGTGCTCGCGCTAAAATGCAAACACACTCTTTCTGTGCAGACTCACCCAAACTTTCCCTAGATTTTCCTCGAGTTTCCCTGGGTCAAGCGGTCTATTTTGCTGCGGTAATGCTATTAAAAATCCCTCAAAATATGGGAATCGAGGGAATTTTGCTGAAAAATAATAGACAATCCAACTTTTCTCAACAGTTTGAATCAAAAGCTCGTCAAAAAGAAGCGAGCTTTCTTTGGCGGGGTTTTTCCTGAGGCTCTTTAGCTCCGAAGATCCCCCCTTTTTCTTCTTTTCAGATGATTCCCGTTATTACCGTAAAAAAGAAAAATGCCTAAAAATTCGCTTCCTGGTGACGTAGCAACGTTTGCATTTTTCTTTTTTGTCTGATTTTTCTGTTCTTTTTGCCATTTTCTCGATCAGAATCGTTCAGTTTCCTCCCATTTCCCCGTTCTTTTTTTGGCCCAGGAAATGACACATCGATCCGGTCACACTTTGACCTTTTTTCTGAATCTTCTTTTGTGAGACGTTGATAAGTTTGTGCCTTTTTTCTTTTTAAGCTCTTTTTAAGCTGTGATTCAACGGAAAAGCAAGAATGGATTAGATTGACATGGAAGGGGGAGAAGAGTTTCGGAGGACGCGTCCAAGGTGGCGAGTAGAGTGTTTTCCTCGCGAATAATGCGTTTTTTAAATCCCACATTTGCGAAAAATTATCGTACTTTTAGCGAAAATTATTGCAAAAAATTGGTGCGAAAAAATCACGAACGCCGACTTATATACGATTCCTTTTCCTCACTCCAAGAAAAAACAATGGCTTTAGGCCTACTATGTTCAAATGTGCCGTGTACTTTTCAACGTTCGATTGCTCACACGTTCCAAGTAACAAAACCCTGCTTACTATTTTGTTACACGCAACTCTAAACAAGTTTACCATTTCTTTTTATTTGTGAACCAGTTTAAGCCATTTATATTGCATGTGTAAATTGTGTAACAAAAACGACCCACACAACTGAAAGCAATAGAAACACCCTTGGAAACAATCACACAAGGAAACACTTGACAGAAAAACGAAAAGATTGTTGTTACCAGAATGATTTTTAGTAAATAAAAGCAGATCAATGGAAAAATAAGGGTAAACAAAATGAACACGTCGTCATACAGAAAAATCTGCAAAAAGTGAGAAATATTTCAAAGGAAATCACAAACGCTAACCGAGAGAGCCATGAAAACTCAGAACAATTGGAAAAACCAAAAAACTTCTTCAGAAAATCACAATAAGGCAACCAAGCAAAAATTGGGAAAAAGCAAAAATCCGAATATACCTATGGATACGATGTGTCAAAATCGATCAAGATGAGCTTTGTGCCACCGTCTCTGTTTTCTGATTCACCTGCACAGACGAGCAATGTTTCGGTGGCTTGGCAATGCCATCTCCAACTGTGTCGATCAAGACGAACGAGGTCACGAACAAAGGTACCTGAAAATCACAAAAATACTCGTATCGTTGATCAAAAAATTAACAACGGAATACTAACCGCGAGTAATGATTTAAATTTGAATAGTTAACGAGTCAAGCTATGTAGTCAATAAATTCTACTTTAGAAGAAAACTCGAGGTCTGGATAAATTTGCTTATCTTATAGCCTATATTACTAGGTAATTCAGAACAACATACCTTTATCCACATCCCAAACCTGGACCGAGCAATCATACGAAGTTGTCACCAAAAGTCCCGAGCCGAGCAATTGCAATGAAGTGATGTGACCATTTACGCCTTGCAGGCGACGAATGCACGAACCACCGTCACGAATGTCCCAAACCTAAAGAAAAGGAAGTAGCTTTTATAGAATTGATTAAACGTACCCCAACGTCCGAGTAGGTATCGAAGGAAACCAAAAAATTTCCGCGAAGCTGGAAGTCAGAGTCCGAACTTTGATGTGTGACAAGAATCGCGATGCAGGCTGAAAGAAACAAATATAGAGGAGATTGCAACAAAATAGCGAAGTAAAACACACTTGCTCTTCGCAAATCCCAGACGCGCATCGTTCTATCCCAACCTTTCGAGATGACAAGATCGCGCTGCGGCTCAAACCAAAACAGAAACCTGATTAAACCCAAAAATTGACAATTCAACTCACCAAAAGTGCATAGACTAACTTCGTGTGACCCGTCAGCGTCTGCAAACACTCCCCCGTCTGCACATTCCAAACCTTATAGAATATTATAAAATTGTACAAAAAAAGCATTAAATACCTTTACAGTACAATCATTGGCACCAGACACAACCCGTCTTCCATCAAATTGTACACAACGCACCTGAAATTTAACTTTGTTCAGGCTAAAACCTTGATTCAAATACAATCCCCAAGTGGCCAGCCAAAATGTGAAGGCATTTCCCGTCGACAAGGTCCCAGACTCGGAGTGTTCCATCGTCTGATCCAGAAACAAGACTAAAACATTCTGACTTTAGCTAAACCAGAAAATCTAGATAACTCACGTTGTGCCATGTAGACGCATGCACCGAACAGAATCCGTATGTCCCCGCAAAATATGACGCTGTACACCGGTTTGACCACACCAAACGCGCACCGAAGAAGAAGAGTGACTTAAATATTGCAATACGCTTTGTTGTCACAAGCATTTTTGTCTAGAAAATTGTTAGCTTCTTTGACAACACTTCTCAATTGCACTAGCTAAAGTCTATGAACTAACCCGAGAATGTATTTGCCATCATCGCTCACTTGAGACGTATGAACAAGACCCATATGGCCAGTTAGAGCGAAAGCCGGCTAAATTAGGACGTATGATAATGGTAAAACGAAACAAACTTGAGCATCATCAACATTCCAGACCTGCAACGTATTATCATATGAATCCGCAACGATACGATCTGAGTGAATTTTTGGAAAACGGATCGCATATTCATCGTGACCCTCAAAAACAATTTTTGTCACAACAAACAACAAAACAAAGCTTTTGGCCAAACCTTTAGAACAGTGCTTGATTGAATCGGTCGGGATCGCCAATTGGAAATGATTCGCTGCTTCCGCAAGTACAACGACTTCCATGAAGATCGCTCATAACATCTAGAATAGACTTCATTTAGCAACAAGTTGCGTCACTAACTGTCCATATGCGACCTCGCGTTCTCGTCGATTCTGGTGTGCTTCTTGAAGGTCCATATGTGAGGGGATTGTGATTCCCGCTTCCTCATTTGCTCGATTCGTCGCCCAGCCTCCGAGAAAACGAAAACTGAAGAAAAAGAAGTGAGTGAGAAGCTCGTGACGAATCCTTTACTAATGGTATTCTTACATGTGATCCAGTTCATCGAAACAAACATTATCATTTTAAATGTTATATAATCTGTTCAAAACTGTAACACACCTTGGCGCATCAAATTTCACATATCCTTTCTCCAAACATTTCTTTTGCCACGTCCGATCATCTTCACAAATTCGCTGCCACCTCCGCGAAACGCCAGCACAAACCGTCAAATCGCACGGCGTCAAATAGGCGATGATAGAATAAGCAACCTAAAAATAAACAATTACTCCCACAAGCTTTAACAAAAGACAAACCTCCTCTGGCAACTGTGACAAAAAATCCTTTTGGACCAATGGTTGGATGATATCCCTGACTTTGAAAATTAAATGTTTAAGGTCATTCTCTTTACTCTTCGAGTTGAGTCTTGCTGCTCTCCGGCTTGTCCGACATGAAAAATGATTTTAATGATATCCACATCCCACAGCTTGACCAAGCCATCGTGAGAACTTGTCACCAAAAGTCCCAACTCCTCTAAATGAAAAATTACAGCAGAGATAACACCGTAAATAACAAACTGAAAAATCCCTGAGGAAAATACTACTACTACTAGCTACCGTAAATATTGTAATGGTACCGCAGCCATTACGATGAATGAAAGCTTTCCAATGAAATAAGTTGATAGCTGTTCTAGAAACAGAGATCTGAACGTTCAAACATTAGCATGTCGTTTGTATAAAATCGATAAGCAAATCTACCCTTAGGGCACTAGAGACTACGATTTCGAGTTGCTGTTCGAGTCGCGTATCGAATCTCTCACCAGACCGTTTCACGACTTCTCCACAAAGCGACCAATGTTCTCTTGACGCCGCAAATTGTCAGTCAATTCTTGAAATGCCCGTATGCAAACGGCGATTTGATTAATAATAAGATCTACACCGGTGACTCCGTATGTGGTTTATTTGGCACGATAATCACAATATGACACACACAATACTAGGCGATATCATAACTTGACCCGCTCTTACATTCTCGGCTCCCTAATCCCTACTCTTATTGGACGCTCCTAGATAGCTTCTCCTTGCTATGACGCCTCGATATTTGGCGAGCAATTCGTTTCAAAATGTCTGACAAGGGTATTCGAGGACGCTTTCACTACGATTTCGAGTTGCTGTGAGGCTTCGATATTTGGCGAGCAATTCGTTTCAAAATGTCTCACAGGGGTATTCGAGGACGCTTTCACTACGATTTCGAGTTCGATGAATTGTATAAGACGGGGAAGTCCTTGATATGTAAAGTAATATTGGCGACGAAATAAATTTAGCGCTCAAAACTTTGTGCTGGAACGCAAAACAAGCTTTGCGGCTAAATATGACGAATGAAAAATTCTACGCCCCGTTGAGGTTAAATACGCGTAAATCTTCGGCGTCCGCAGTTTCAATACCCCAGCGTCTTTTCAACCCTGCTGATAAACCTAAACTTACCTACGAGATGGTGCACTAAAGGTTATTTTGTTGGTGAAGCGCTAAAAAGCGCAATGGAATCAGCTTTCTGAAAACTGGAACCACAAAGTATGGTTTTGTGTACATTCTACCGTAGGTCTTTTGATGGCGAGTTCTAAAACGCGCTCCTTTTGTGTATGGAAAGAGAGTTTTTGCGATAAAATTCATTCTGGTCAATTCTTTTAGTAGGCTTATCTACCGTAAATACTCTAATAGTACCCCATCCCTACCCTACGGTGCCCTACGGTGCCCTACGGGTAGACTTGCTTCTCGATTTCATCGATACAACAAACGGCATGCTAAGGTTTGAACATGCAGATCTCTGTTTCTAGAACAGCTATCAACTTATTTCATTGGAAAGCTTTCATTCATTGTAATGGCTGCGGTACCATTACAATATTTACGGTAGCTAGTAGTAGTATTTTGCTGAGGGATTTGTCATTTTGTGATTTACGGTGCTATCTCTGCTGTAATTTTTCATTTAGGGGAGATGTCGGACAAGCCGGAGAGCAGCAAGACTCAACTCGAAGAGTAAAGAAAATGGCCTTAAACAGTGAAATTTTCAAATTCAGGGACATCATCGAACCATTGTTCCAAAAGGATTTCTTGTCACAGTTGCCAGAGGAGGTTTGTCTTTTGTTCGAGCTTGTGGAATTAATTGTTGATTTTCAGGTTGCTTATCGAATCATCTCCTATTTGGCACCGTGCGATTTGACGGTTTGTGCTGGCGTTTCGCGGACGTGGCAACGAATTTGTGAAGATGATCGGACGTGGCGAAAGAAATGTTTGGAGAAAGGATATGTGAAATTTGATGCGCCAATGTGTGTTACAGTTTTGAACAGATTATATAACATTTTAAATGATAATGTTTGTTTCGATGAACTGGATCACATGTAAGAATACCATTAGTAAAGGATTCGTCACGAGCTTGTCACTAACTGCTTTTTCTTCAGTTTTCGTTTTCTCGGAGGCTGGGCGACGAATCGAGCAAATGAACAAGCGGGAATCACATTCTTCTCACATATGGATCTTCAAGAAGCACACCAGAATCGACGAGAACGCGAGATCGAATATGGACAGTGAGTGACGGAACTTGTTGCTGAATTAAATTTTTTCTAGGTGTTATGAGCGATCGTCATGGAAGTCGCTGTACTTGCGGAGGAAGCGGATCATTTCGAATTGGCGATCCCGAGCGATTCAAGCAAGCACTGTCCAAAAGGTTTAAACAAATGTTTTGGCTATAAAAATTGTTTTAGGCTCGCGATGATAATGCGGTCGATCATATACAAGTTCAGTCTGGTCGTATCGTTACTGGTTCAAATGGTAATACGTTGCGGATCTGGAATGTTGATGATGCTCAAGTTTGTTTCGTTTAATTATTATTGTATGTCTCAATTTAGCCGGCTTTCACTCTAACTGGCCATATGGGTGCTGTTTATACGTCTCAAGTGAGCGAGGATGGCAAATACATTGTCAGGTTAGTTAATGGGCTCTAGCTAGTGCAATTGATAAGTGTTGTCAAAGAAGCTAACAATTTTCTAGACAAAAGTACTTGTGACGACAAAGTCTATTGCATTATTTAAGTGGCTCGACTGATCGAACGGTGCGCGTTTGGTGTGGTCAAACCGGTGTACAGCGTCATGTTCTCCAGAGGCATACGAGTATTGTTTACCGCATAAGTCTACATGGCACAACGTGAGTTATCTAAATTTTTTACTTTAGCTAAAATCATAATGTTTTAGTCTTGTTTCTGGATCGTCCGATCAAACGCTCCGAGTCTGGGACATTGCCGACGGGAAATGCCTTCACATTTTGGCTGGCCACTTGGAGACGGTACGTGTATCAAAGTTATAGCCTAAGCAAAGTAAATTTCAGGTTTCGTGTGTACAATTTGATGGAAAGCGGGTTGTGTCTGGTGCCTATGATTTTACTGTAAAGGTTGGCAATGTGTTTTTCTCAATTTTATTATATTCTATAAGGTTTGGAATGTACAGACGGGGGAGTGTTTGCACACGCTGACGGGTCACACGAATCCAGTCCTTTCACTTTTGGTGAGTTGAATTGTCAATTTTAGGCTTTAATCAGGATTCTGTTTTAGTTGGAGTTCGATCTTGTCGTCTCGGGAAGTCAGGATGGAACGATGCGCGTCTGGGATGTGCGAAGAGGAAGTGGGTTTTGCTTCGTTGCTATTTTGTTGCAATGTAATCTATATTTGTTTCATTTAGCGTGCATCGCAATTCTTAACAGTCATGAAAGGCCCTACTATGGCATGCAACTTCGCGGAAATAGTTTGGTCGCCTGCTATACCGGCTCGGACGTTGGGGTACGTTTAATCAATCGTAGGACAACTACTTCCTTTTCTTTAGGTTTGGGACATTCGTGAGGGTGGTTCATGCATTCATCGCCTGCAAGACGCAAATGGTCACACGTTCAATATCACTTCATTGCAATTGCTCGGCTCGGGACTTTTGGTGTCAAGTTCTTACGATGGTTGGGTCAAGCTGTGGGATGTGGATAAAGGTATGTTGTTCTAGATTACCGGGTAATTTAGGCTATAAGATAAGCAAATTTGTTCAGAGTTCAAGTTTTCTTCTAAGGTGGGATTTATTAACTACATAATCTGACTCGTTAACTATTCAAGTTTAAAGCTATGTTCAGGGTTAGTATTCTGTTGTTAATTTTTTATCAACTATACGAGAATTTTTGTGATTTTCAGGTATCTTTGTTCGTGACCTCGTTCGTCTTCAGGCTGGCAGTTGGTTTCGGCATCTCTTCGCAACCGAAACATTTCTCCTATGTTCAATTATATCGCGACACCGAACCGAAAACGGAAAGCTGATCTTGATCGATTTTGACGCATCGTATCCATAGTTATATACTGATTTAGCGTTTGTGATTTCCTTTAAAATAATTCCCACGTTTTGCAGACTTTCTTGTATGCTAAAGTTTTCATTTTGTTAGCCTTGATTTTGCCATTGATCTGCTTTTATTTACTAAAAATTATTCTCATAACAACAATCGTGAGCAAGTTAGCAAAGAAATTGATAATGAGATTTACGTATCAAAATTTTGCATTTAAGAAATTTGCTTAGAAATTTACGTTAAAAAAATTATTTAAGGTTATTAGATATAAAGGGTTCGAATACAGATGACTTTATCATTCGAGTTTCACATCATGATTTGTGGTCTTTTGACATGCTGATTCCGGATTCGACGATTTATGGGAGGTTGGTCACCTTTTTTTTGGTTAAATTTCATTGTTTCTTTTGGCCACCGTTAATTGGGCCACCTTAGATGACAAAGTTTTTCCTGGAATACATATTTTTCGATCTGTTCGATGATCAGACTATTGTTTTTCGGGGCTATTATAAGTTTTTTATAGGTTTTTGAATATTTTAAATGCACTGATGGATGTGCATTGCAGGGATAATTATCCTGAAATACAAAATTGTCGAAATTAGCCGTTGCCGTGGCTCTTAAGTTTGGTAGTGACGAGTTAAGTTTTATCAAATTTTTTTAGAGAGCTATCAAGGAAGGCAAAGCGCTGGCGGATCTAAGGAAACTTTTGATTAAAGATCTTTTTGTTTATTTTATTTTTCTTGCAACAAACTATTGTATTCGTTTAGGATTCTCCATGCACTCCTGCTTTATGGAATGGAAAATACGACGCACAAAATTATGGTAGGTTTATCTGTTTTTTAACTTTTAGACGCATATAACCATAAAGTTATAGGGTTATTTGCGGACTAATTCAACGATTTACTGGACAGCATTTACTGATTTATTTTGTTTTTTCACAGGTTTCCCACATGATCATCCATCGAACAATCTAGGCAACCGGCAATTTGATCACGACACCGTGTATATATATGTTACGTCCGAATCTGAGGAGACGTCCATCTCCGATCCGGACGTCCGAATCAAAGATGGACGTCTCCTCAGAGATGGCCA